CACCGGAGCCATGTCTCCCTGTCCCAGTGCAAAGGATCATCGGGGAGGTGACTTCCTAGAGCAGTACAGACAAGACTTAGAATGCTTTTACGTGTGCAAAAAAGTATACCTTAACCCCCAGTTTAAGAAATAGGACAGACAGCCCGGCCAGTGTGGCTCAGTGGTTGAGCGTCGACCCTGCATCAAGAGGCCGGTTCGATCCCTGGTCAGGGCACATGCTCAGGTTGTGGGCCCGATCCCCAGTGGGGGGCATGCAGGAGGCCGCCAATCGATGTTCTCTCCCATTGATGTTTCTCTCTCTCTCTCCCTTCCTCTCTCTCTCAAATCAATAAAGAAAATTTATAAAAAGAAGTAGGGTGTACAGTTCACACCGCCACGCACACGCCCCCCAGTCAGCCCCGTGAGACGTACCCCTGTGAAGTTAGTTTATGATTTGGGGGCTTGTTTTTATCATTTAACCCTGTGTATGTGCCTCAATGGTACTGTTGTGCACATTGTCAAACTCTTACCCAAACCATGTCTTACTGTGTTCCTGCAACGTGGGTTTTCGTTGGCCGAGCACTTTCCCTGTGTTTATATTCTCCGCAGTCCTGAGAACACACAGCAGGAGTGACCGTTTCTGTGGTTCAGACAGAGAAACAGAACTCAGCAAGGATGCGATTTGGTTGTTTGTTTGTTTTTGCCAACATCGAGGGCTAACACACGGGCTCTAACTTCGTCTCTTCAGAGTCCATGTTCTTTGTTCTGTGTAAATGCTGAGGCTTATCAGGGCGGGTCACTTTGTGCCCCTGGAGCCCCCTTTGGCCTGGACACCCCAACTTCTCTCTCCATCTAGAATCCCAGCCTCCGTCCGGGGTTTGCAGCCTCCAGAAACCTCAGAGACCTGAGGACTCAGTGGTTGGCTCAGACCCCACCCCCGTCACACCGTCCTGGCCAGCTTTTGTGCCCACAGTGCCCACCTGGTTCTCGCTCCTCCTGAGACTGGAAATCGTGTGTCCTGCTCAGAGCCCCCTCCGCTCCGGCCAGATGCCGCCCTGGAACTGCTCTCTGCCCCCAGCCCCACCCCCTGCTCCCACAGGATCCTTTTCTGCGCGGTCGTGGTCGCCTCACAGACGGGCTCTCCTCTCCCAGCTGAGAAGAGAGACGTTTCCTGCCCCCATCTCTCCCTCTCCTGTTGCCCATGTTTTTGCTGTATGACCCCTGGAAAGAGTTGTCCCTTCTGGCTTTCTCCAGTTCCCCCCTCCCGTTCTCTTCCGCACCTTGTACTGACGTTTCTACCCGTGAAGTCACCTCCAAGGCGCCGGGTCCAGCGGTCCCTTCTCGGCCCTTCTCCCGCTTCACCTGTTGGTGTTTCCTGTCCCTTCCCCAGGAGATGTTCTGCCCGTGTCTTCCCCGGGAGGGCGCTGTGTGCCTGTGTGCCCTTCACGCAGCCCCTTGGGGACCTCTGCGTGCTGGAGTGTCCCCAGGATCCACCCGGGGCCCCTTCTCTGCGTGCTGCACACCCACACTCTCGTTGATCTCATCCATTCTTGTCACATCCAATCCATCCATATGCTGAGGATCCCAAATTTATATCTTAGCTCAGACTTCTTTCCCGGATGCCAGACTTGTGCATCCAGCTGCTCCCGCGGCGCCCCCCGCTGGAGACGGCCGCCGGTGTCCCCTGCCCCTCGCTCCAGTGCCCTCCCAGGACAACGTCCAGGTCTGGGAGTCTGTGAAGCTGGGGGTGTGGCCTTAACTGTGCCAAGAAAATGCCTGTGAAGATTGGTCCTGACAGCCACCCCCCAGCACGGCGCCTCCCTGGGCTCAGGGCCGTGCTGGGTGCATTCAGCTCGCCTATCGGGGCTCATCACCCTTTTCTTTACCTAACGGGTTCCTTTCTCCGGGCCCCTCCCAGTCATCTGGGCCACCTCGTGGGTTGTTTCTGGATCTGGGGACCTTGCTGCGTCCCCTGACGTCATATCAAAAGTAATCAGTGAATCTGTGAACTATCCACTCTGAGCAACATTCAGAGTTTCTGTCCACCTCTCAGGTGTTGGGGGACGTGACATTTCAACGGCTCTGTTGGATCATCGAGCCACTTTCTTGCTACAAATGGGCCTATAGAGTAACAGACAGCTGATGATGGCCACTGGAGTGGCACCTGTGAGGAAACGAACTACCCCTGAAGCCAAATGCCAGCCAGCGACCTCAGCAGCACCGTTCACGAGAACGGACTCTGTGCGTTTGAAGTCCGGCAGCTGGGGGTTGTTGTTGGCAATGTCTGTGCCTCAACTCTGCCGTGGATTCGAGGGCTCGCCTCCCTTCTGACAGGTCCCCAGGGCTGGACCCCGCAGAACCCAGTTGTCAACGTGTGGACCGAAAGAAGCCTGCAGCATCTCCCAGGCTGCTTCGACCTTGTAATTCATACCTCCCCTGGGAAGGTGGACCAGGGGGTCATCAACCCCACCCTCCCTACAAAAACCAACCTGTGGGTGGACCGGCAGCTCGGGAAGCGGAGCATTTTAATCTTGTGCGGAGACCTGTGTATTGAATTTTCAGCCTGGAGATGGATCAAGATTGATAGTTTATTCCAAAAAGGATAGTGCAAACCAGAAAAGCAGTCTGTTGGGTTTGGGTCGCAAATGGCTGAGAGGGACAGGGAATGACCTGGCCCCGGTGCCTCCAGAGGGTTGGAAAGAGGCTGGGGACATGTGCTTAGGTGTGGGCAAGCCCTGCTTTCCCAGCCGAGTCTGCGTCTGTGTGTGCTTCCGGCTACAGGGCCGGGGCTCACCCTCCCGGCTGAGCCTGGCCAGGGGCTGGGCTCAGCCCGCTGGGAGTCAACAGCCCAAGGGCCCTCCCGCGTCTCCTCCGAGTTCCCTGCAAGTCTTCAAGGTGAACGTCTGTGCAGAGAGGCGGGTCAGGAAAACACCACACCCCTGCTTTGGCCAGCGCACTGCAGCCCAGAAAAGAAATTTCATCATTTTCTTTGGGGAAGATGGAAAGCAGTGCTGGGCCCGAGGGGCAGCGACCTTGCCCTGGAGTTCACAGGCTGCCAGGGAAATTAGAGAAGACAGCACAGGCAAAGAATGCTAACGAGGCGTGGTGGACGGGAGCCCAGAGCCCGGTTCCCCCGCTGGCCACGCGGCAGCTGTGTGGTGTCTGAAGAAAGGGGAAAGGCAGTCCTAAGCCCAGTTCCGGGTGGGCCTGGGTCTGCTCAGGGGAAAGCCCTATGCAAGGGGCCGTGTTCTGACGCCTCACAAAGTGGTCTGAGCATTCTGGGCCTTTTCGGGGAATCTGTGAAGCATGGGGGGTGCTGGGGCTGAAATGAATGAGCCCCTGTCCTTTGAAGAGAGACACAGACAGACTGAGGGCCCGCAGAGGGAAAGCTGGCTCCTTCCCCCAGGTGTGGGCAGCCCCAGGGGGCAGCGGGCAGGCCTCACCAGGGCAGAGAAGCCCAGCCGAACCCACAGACTGGCTCGGAGTTTCTGGAGGAAGAGGAAGAAGCTGGACTCCTGGGCAGATGGGTATCTCCTAGACCCGTGGTGCTATGGACCTGGGCAGGGACGGGGCAGGACACATGGGTGTGGAGAGAATTCCAGCTCGAGCTGCCAGACCAGGCTTCTGGGCTCGTCCTGTCTTGGTCACAACTGCCCAGCATTGGACAGTTGCCCAGAGAGGACGGCAGTTTTTCTGTCCGACCTGCTTGAGGTTGTCGACAAAAGAAACGTCCAAACCTGGCCCTGGCCAGCTTGGCTCAGTGGTTGGAGCATTGGCCTTCAGATCAAGCGGTCTCAGGTTCGATTCCCAGTCAAGGGCACGTACCTGGGTCGCAGGTTCGATCCCCGGCCCAGGTTGGGGTCATGCGGGAGGCAACCTGTTGATGTGTCTCTGTCATGTCGATGTTTCTCTCTCTCTCCCCCTCCCTTCCTCCCTTCCACTCTATCTAAAAAAATCAATGGAAGAATTCCCTTGGGTGAAGATTCACAAAAACAAAAAAAGAAATGTCCAAACCTGTGAGAATTTTTTTATGAGTTTATTTGAGTCACACTGATGACAAATACCGGGAAGCAAAGTCTCAAGGGATTGAGGGATTGCTCCTGAGACCGGCAGTTTTGCTCCTTCGTTTCTACGTTAGGATCAAAGGCGGAGCAGAAGGGGTAATGGAACCCACTGGTGACAGTGTTGGGGAGGCGGGGAAAGCAAAGCGGGGGGATCTCTGGGATTGGATACAAAGTAAAACAGATGGATGTACATTAACATGGGTGGGTACAGAATAGTTAACAATGAGCACTTAGAGCACGGAGAGACTGGTATGTGGGCAACCAGATGACAATGAGGGGCTCCGTGGTCTCTGCTTTGGTGGCAGATTGTGCCCTGAAGGGTCTGGAAAAAGGAAATTACCCCTTTATCTCCTGCCCCTCCCCCGGGATTCCTGCTCCCGCCCAGGTCCTGGCCTTGAAGCGGCCAGTCTGTTGGCACCTGCAAAGCTCTCTGTTTGAGAAGTGTGGGACCCGATGGCCTCTTCCTCTTCTCCTGATGAAGCCACCGTGTCCGAGAGACAGGGGGGCTGCGAACCTGGGCAGAGGAAGCGAGAGGAGCCTCTTTTCCCATTTCTTTGCCCTCTCCCCTGCCCCCCAGCACACCCTCCTTGGTCTGAAAGCATCCCCAAATACCGGTTCTGTAAATCAGCGGGGTCAAGCTTTGTTGTGGGGACATGCATATTCATGAGGGCTTTGAGGAGCTTCATTGAAATTCGGGCAGTCTCTTCGACAACGAAACCTAAGCCATCCCTTTATTTGCCCAACACTGTGTTCGCAAGGCCATAATTACGGGATGAATGGCTGAAGCAACATTTTAATTATTTGTTTCCGCTAATTTCTGATCCTCTCGTTAGAATTATAATGGGTTCGCTTTTACAAAGCCTCTCACTCGCACAAATTTCTGCACTTGGAGGAGTTCTCGGAGCACCTGTATCATTTCTGAAACCAAAGTAATTTTTGTTTTCTTTTTTATTCCAGAAAGAGTTCATCACCAGGAGGTTTCCCCGGACATTCGCAAACCACTCGTTTTTGGTAAGAAGTGTGAACCTCGCGTGGAGGGAGGTTTTGCTCCTGGCGTGTGAGCAGTGGGTTTCATGAGGGGACTTGCACTTCCGCTGGGACAGGGTGGTCCCCGTGGTTGCTTCCTGGGAGCTGTGGACGTGTAAGTCAGTACTTGTCTGAGCGCAGGGCGTCTGAGGCTGGAGTTTGATGCTCAGCCCAGGAACCGGTGAGTATCAGTGCTCAGGAGGTCTGTAATCACCCCTGAGCCCTAGTTGCTTACACTTCTAGAAGGCCATCTGCCTCATCTGTAAAGTGGGGACTCGTGATTTGGGGTGGTGGTGAGAAGGAACCACTCTATGGGTGGGCTGTGCATAGCACATGATAGCTCCCCAGAATCCTGTTTCCTTCCTTGGAGCATAAGAAAAGACATGGGGCTGGCCGTTAGGATTTGCCTCTAGACTCAGTGTGTCTGTTTTCAAACACTCAGAAACTCCTGCTCTGACAGCCAACTTTTTTTTTTTAAGTTGCCTGTCAGGAGAGAAGAAAATTCACGGACACCTTTTTTCTTTTAAAGATGAAAGATGTGTTAAGAAAATAGCCCTGTGAGCTGCTACTAGGTCGGGCCCAGTGTAATTAGTGTGATGAGATTGAAGGAAGTTCGTCGTTTCGGAATGTAATTTTTTATTAATGATATTCAGATCTAATTAATTATATCCCGTTCTAATTAATGACATGAGTGTCCAGGCTCGCATTCTCAAACTGAGTTCTGCAGGTCCCGTGAGATCTCCGTGAAAATGGAAATCCACGTTCAGATCAGGGAGGGCCGTTCTGTCTGTTCTGAGAGTCCCTGAGCGCGTATTAAAGGCCTTGATAAGTCCTGCAAGAAAGTAACTGAATTGTGTTTAACTCGAGGGGGCCTGGGCCTCAAGGGAAGGGCCTTGTATTTGTTCTGTAGTCAGTAGGAAGTCCCCAGAGGCCTCCCAGCATCTATTCAGGGCAGAGTTTCAAGTGTAGCCCCAGGGCCTTCGATGTGAGAACCGCCCCCAGCTCAGCTCCAGGCCTGATCTTTGCTCACAGACTCAGACCTTGGGCCTCTGAACCTGCCCATTGCCCGGTGCCCACCAACGGGACTGAACACTTGGCTTTCCCTAGACCTGCCCCCTTTCTGCAGCCCCACCTGGAGGCACCCGTCTCCCATCACAGATGCGTCTTGCGACCACAGCCAGGATCCCCAGCAGCCCCCGTTTCCAGCCACCTGTGTTTGTGGGGGTCTCTGTCCTCCTCCTAAGACATACACGTAATCGGTCACCCTTTCCCTTTAAATGTCACTGGAATTTTTCTCCACTTTCTGTGTATAGCAGAGAAGGCAAACGCTCATGGGGTGGAGGCCTGTGTGGGGGACTGTCCTGTGGCACCCCTTCAGCCCTGCGGGCGGGCGCTGGCATTTCCAGTGCCCCCCCCCCCCCCGGAAGGCCGTTCCTCCGGGAAGTATCCTGCCCAGGGCCTGAGGGTAGATGAGGTCTGGGTTTACACAGGGACCTTTGGTCTTCACCTTTAGTACAAGGGCTCTTTCTCTTCCACCCAAAGTGCCTGTTTAAGGTAATTCTGCAGACCCTTCAAGATGTGGCCACCTTCCCGGTCCCCCACCGCATGCAGCCAGTGAGGCCGGGGGCTCCTGTTCAGTGTCTCTGTGTGGTGTTGGGCCTAGATGGTTCCTGGTGACTTTTTTTTCTTTTTAATCCTCACCCGAGGATGTTTTTTCATTTATCTTCAAGATAGAGTGAGAGGGAGAGAGAGAAAGAACAACATCGATGTGAGAGGGACACAGCGACTGGTTACCTCCGCATGACCCCATTCAGGACCAGGGACCAAACCGCAACCAAGGTACATACACTTGACTGGAATCGAACTCGCGACTCTTTGGTCCACAGGCTGACATTCTAACCGCTGAGCCAAACCGGCCAGGGCGGTTCCTGGCCACTCTCTTCACTTGCTGAAAGCAGTTAGTTTGGAGTGAGGAGGAAGGAGAGGCCACGTGCACTGGGAGGGTGGGCCCCGCTCCCTGGGGTCAGGAACGTGCGCTGGTCTTTGAGGTGCGCGGATTTAGACTCGGGAGACGGGAGACGTAGAGCGCCTCCTCATCGTTCTGCATCGTGTCTTCCTGATGAAGGCTGCTCTTTGTTTTTGAGAAAAAACAACCTGATCCTTTGACCATTGGTCGTGGTCACCTGCATTTCCAAGATGCAGGCGTCTGGTGGACGGGTGGTACCACGCTGCCGCCGCCACCGCTTCCTCTGGCCCGCCTGCCCTCTGGCATGGGTGTTCTTGCTCCTGATGGGAACGGCCAGGGTGGGATGGCACGTTATTTGAAATGTGCATTAACGGGACTCTGGTGAAGCGCTCCGACAGGTCCCAGGTGCTTTGTGGGACTCTGACTCTGTTCTCTCCAATGTCCCTCCCACAGTGGCTGCCTCCTGGTGACGATGGCCGCGTGAGCATCTGCCATGGCCAACCGCAAGCGCCAGAGCACAGCGAGCAGCATGCTGGACCACAGAGCGAGGCCGGGCCCCGTGCCCCGTGGCCAGGAGCCCGAGAGCCAGGACGCCGAGCTGCCTCTGGAGGAGTACGTGCCTCAGGGCCTGGAGCTGGCCACGCTGCGGGCCGAGAGCCCCACGCCCCCGGAGCAGAGCTGCCATGACCACAGCCCCGACGGGGACTCCAGCTCCGACTACGTGAACAACACTTCAGAGGAGGAGGACTATGATGAGGGCCTCCCAGAGGAGGAGGAGGGCATCACCTACTACATCCGCTATTGTCCCGAGGATGACAGCTACCTTGAAGGCATGGACTGCAACGGGGAGGGGTACCTGGCCCACGGTGCGCGCCACCCAGACACAGACGAGTGTCAGGAGGCTGTGGAGGAGTGGACGGACTCGGCCGGCCTGCACCCCCATGGCCACGGGGACGGAGGTGGCCCGGACTACCGGGATGGCCACCTCTCCATCCCAGAGGATGAGGCCTCGGTGCTGGGGGTCCAGGACCAGGAGGAAGGCATCCACTACTGTCCCAGCGAAGACGGTTACCAGAACTACTACCCCCCCGAGGCCAACGGCAACGCGGACCGTGCGTCTCCCTATCGCCCAAGGCGTGGGGATGGGGACCTAGAGGACCAGGAGGAGGACATCGACCAGATTGTGGCTGAGATCAAGATGAGCTTGAGTATGACCAGCATCGCCAGTGCCGGAGAGGCCAGCCCCGAGCACGCGCTGGTGCCGGGGCCGGAGCCAGGGCCAGGGGACTCCACAGAGGCCGGCCTGCCCGGAGAGACCAGCCGCGGCCCCAGCCGGCACGAGGGAAGGCCCAAGTCACTCAACCTTCCTCCTGAGGCCAAGCTCCCCGGAGACCCCCAGAGAAGCTTCAAGACCAAGAGCAGGACTCCCGAGGAGAGGCCAAAGTGGCCCCAAGAGCAGGTAGGACTCCATCTGCAGGGAAGGGGACAGGGGCCCCGAGAACATAGATGTATTCAGCTGACCAGGCTGGACCTAAGGTGCATGAGTGTCCTCACACGGAGTGGGGGCTGGGATTGCGACAGAGGCAAGCACTCTAAATGATGGCGAGTGGAAGGCGAGGAGCCTGGGTGGAGGATGGTGATGAGAGGGGGACAAAGAAGAGCCATCTGTGGGGAGGGGCAGCCAGGAGGCTGCTGAGCGACAGGGACACTGTGAAGGCCAAATGCAGTCAGGCAGTTAGGGGTGGTCTTGCTGGGCGGCTCTGCAGCAGCTCTGGGGGCTGCAAGGGCAGAGGTTCATGTACAGAACAGAAGGGAGTAGCTGGGCAGGAGGTGCCGGCAGGGGGAGGATGCCCACCGCATATGGAGCCTGCATTGAATTGTGTTGACTTGAACTGCACTGCTTTGCCCTTGTGTGTGTGGGCCCACAGGCATCTTTCGTCCTGGGACCCCCACAGCACCGCCCCCCCAGTCCCTCACATGTCCCAGGGGCCCGAGACACATCTGGCTGACAAAATAGGTTAGTCACACGCCATTCGCTAGGAAGTGCAGGGCTCCATGGAAGGATTTTTAGAAACATCTTCTGTTCAGGAAGAAAGACCACACTGCTGAGCGTGAGACTCAGCGGTGCGTCATGCCGCACACGGTGCGCTGGCCCGAGACGTGGCATTGTGGCGGTGGCAGTGACGGGTGTTCTTGCTCGGCATTCAGGTCACAGCCAGTGCTGATGAGTTGCTGAAAAAGACACAGGAGCCCTGGCTGGTTTCGCCCAGTGGTTAGAGCATCGGCCCGCAGACCAATGAGTCGCAGGTTCGATTCCTGTCAAGGGCACCTACCTCGGTTGTGATTTGTCCCTGGCCCTGGTCGGGTTGTGCGGGAGGCAACTCACATCGATCTCTCTCTCTCTCCCCCCCTTCCTCTCTCCCTGTCTCTCCCTCCCTCCCACTCTATCTGAAGATAAATAGAAAAATTTCCTCAGGTGAGAATTAAAAAAATAAACAACAACAAAAAATTTTAAAAGACACGGGACTATAGTACTAGGAGGCTAACCTGGAATAACTTGCCGCCCCACATCCGGTCATACCATGGACAGCTCAGGGAAACTAGGCATAACTCAGAAATGCTGAGAAAGGAGGTGAGACAGCATGGTGTCCCCAGGGCTGATGGTGGACCCCAGAACCTGCCGGGATCTGATCAACTTTCACAGAAGAGAAGCTGGGTTTTCTCTGCCTGAGACCAAGCCAAGGCCTGAACTGTTGGAGCTGAAGGGTGTTTGGAACTGGGATCCTACAGGCTCTTTGCCTGGCTCCTCCCAGTTCAACAGGGAGCAGGCGTCCCGGCTTCTCTAGTCCTGTCCATTTGGGACGCCTTTCCTGAGCGCGCGCTGTCCTTGGTGCTGACACACCGCTGTGGGTCCATGTCGCTGTCCAGGGTGCTGACACATCGTTGGGTCTGCCCCACAGCTGGTCACCCTGTCCTGCTCGGTACAGTCAGGCCACGTGGGTCATTGTGCCTGAGCTAGACTTTGGACTTGGGGGTGCTATTTAGGAGATCAGTTTGGGTCACAACATCAGGTTGGTTGGAGGGATGTTGCTGCTGTGTGTGTGTGTGGGGGGGGTGCCCATTCACCCTCCTCGGTCAGCCTTCATTACCAGTGTCTTCTGATTGTGCCTCTGGGACCTGTTTGCCCACTCTGATTTCTGATGCAGACCTCCCTCTAACTTGACACTTCCCACCTGGACTCTGAGTCTCCTGCTTCTCCTCAATGGAGCTGTTGGTGTTAGCGGGAGATATCTGTTCCTGACCTTTCCTCCCAGTACGTCTGGGTCTGCTGGCTGCTGGTGGTTGTGCACAGTGGCACAAACTCACCATCAGATGGACTCAGACCCAGAGTACCCACACCGAAGCCAGGTCTCTCAGTGTTTCTGGGTTCCTTTGCCCATTGCTACTGCTTCGTTCTTTTCTGGTCATTGTCTAGATGCTCTTCCTTGCTACACTCTGTTCCCTCCTACATTCCTTCAGTCATTTGCTCATTCATTCACTGAGACCCAAGTATACAAAAGCCAGCATGCCAGCCACTCTGAGAAATATGAAATCTAATCTTCAAGAAAGGAAGGATCACCCAGCCATTCACCCGTCCTCAGAACTCACTCCAGAAACAAGAACAAGTGATTGCTCAAGGCGCCTCTTGCTGCACTGAATTTGCAAATTACGGAAGATGTGGTGAAGAGAAATTGCTTCCTCAGGTTTTTCTTGCCTAATAGTCATATTTAATCTCCAATACCCTTTTAAACATCAAGAAGAACAAAAAAGTAAATTAACCCAGATGATCCCAAATCATCAAATATGGGCAGTTTGGTCCATATTCAGAGAACGTGGCCTGATGAATTTGTTTGGTGTCTGTGGAAGGATTTGTGCCACAGTTAGCGATAAAGCACAAAAGAAAGGGTTTTTACATAAAATAGAATCTTATTCAGCCTTTAAAAGGCAGGAAATTCTGACTTGTGCTGCAACATGGACTAAGTGTACAGACACTGTGTTAAGTGAAACAAATCAGCCACAAAAGATGAATTCTGTGTGATTCCACTCATAGGAGGTTTCTAGAGGAATCAAATTCGTAGATTCAAGAAGTAGAATGGTGGTGGGCAGGGCTAGGGGTGGGGACAATGGGAGGTTTAATGGATGGATGGTCGTGATGGTTGTACAACTGTATGAATGCACTTAATGCCACTTCACTGTCCACTTAAAAATGGTGACAGTGATCAACTTTATTTTATATGTATTTACCACGATTAGAAAGAAAAGAAAAGGCTTCTGGCCCATTAATGGTCTGAGCCAATTTTAATCATCTAAAACCAAGTTGAGCTGGTCTGAACCTGGGTCACCAGGATCCAACAAGCAAAGACATTCTGGGCCAATCAAAGGTCGTTTGGGGTCTCCCCAGTACAGGTGAGCTGAGCACACCTGTGTGGGCCTGTGGACACTGGTGTGTGGTCACAGGGCAGTGGGTCTGCACAGCTCTGGGAGGGTCTCAGGAGGAGAGTCAGGATCCAAATGAATCATGAGTAGGACAGCCACGCCCTGAGTGGGAGGGACAGGCCTTCTCTCTCTCCTTCTAGGTCTTGTCCCGTAACAAGTGTGGTCCTACCTCAGCAGGAGTGGCAAGAGATAGCATGGATCCCAAATTATTCTTTTTTCTTTTCTTTTTTATTGTTGACAGTATTACAGATATCCCCCAATTTTCTCTCCCTTTACTCCCCTCTTCCCAGCCCCTGCCCCAACCCAGGCCTTCATTGGGCTCTTTATAGTTGACGTCATACTTAGTGTCATTAAAATACATTTATGTTGTCAAATACACTAGTAAAATAACAGCTACTTCTGTTTTCTCTTCTTATCCTCAACTTTAGAAAAGCAAAATATTCCATTTTGCATATTCATGGAAGTTGACCAGGTAGATTTGACAGAAGCTAACAGGATGGTTGGGTGTCTTCTGTACATTTTAGCTGCTTAAGCTTGTTTTTCCAACCGTGAATCACAGGACTTGGTGTTAGCATTTGAAGTCTTAGTTCTCTTGAGTCTGAACTTAGGTGTTTGTTATTTAGGACCCGTAACATTGAAGTAGAGAAATTCTCATCCTGGGGAGCAGAGTGGGGTCATAGCAACTTGATGCGGGAACGGTGCCCGTGGAGATGAGGGGAACTTAAATACAGAAAACACCCCTGGAAAGGGAATTCCACTATCAGGGTTGGTGTCCTTTTGCCTTTCACACCTCGTTTCATTCACTTTTCACGTCAGGCTAGTTTTCTCGGAATATGTGTGCAGGGCTCAAGGCTGGGTGTGCGACGGTCAGGGGACATGGGAAATGCTGGCCTGAGCCTGCTACAGGGTCGAGAGATTGCTTCTGCCTCGAAGCGTCGCTGTTATTGAAATGCTCACACGGGGCTTCTCACCTTTGAATTATCAGGGAGCTGGTAGGGGGGGGGGTGGCGTGCAGCGTTTGCAGCAAAGTCATGGAATCTGGGGCACAGCAGCCAAGCTGGCTGCACCCACAGTTTTAGAAAGGGGTGGTGCCCGTTTTCTTTGAGAGGGAACAAAACCAAACACAGGGCTGTGGTCCTGCAGCGCGCTTTGCTTGCGTGGTGGGACTCCATTCCCCGGAGTGCAAGGTCTGATGTGTGAGCAGCCGTGAGCTCTTTCCCCCGGTGTCTGAGCGTTTTACATTCCCATCGGCAGTGCCCAAGGGTAGAAAGATTTACAGCCTCTCAAAAGCTGCCCTGATGGTTTGGCCTCCGGGCTCACCTCTTCGCCCCTCAGGCGTGATCACGCAGGGACTGCCTTTGCACACACACCTGTGTGTTTGTGTCCAAGCGGGCCCCAGAGAGGGTGCGAGGCTGGCAGGATCAGAGTCCCACCTCCGTGCTGGATTTCACGTGCGTCTTCCTGTTCTGGAGGGTCACCCAGTGCGACACAAGACACACAGCAGGTGCTGGCTTGGGACTGTCCTTGGGACTCAGCCTTTGGACGGATGCTGCTTCCTGGAGGCTTGAAACACAAAGGCCGGTTTAGAAAAATGTGGGTCTGCCCTTGCGTGCTGGGCTGGGCACCCCAGTACCGCCCACCCCTTCATGCCTCCAAGAGGAGAGCGAATGATGAAGGACGTGCCAGGTGGTGCCAGGGGTCAGAGGTGGTGGAGATTTCGGTAGACAAGGCACAGAGAACAATGCCAGGCCCTGACTGTGCCACTTGGAGTTTCCCTGGAGGGGACAGCAGATTTAGCAAGTAGCGACGAGATGCCCAGTTCAACGTGGATTTCAGATAGACAATGAAGAGCTTTTTAGTGTACTTATTATGTTCCATGATTTCGTGGGGGGCAGGGGAGTCTGGGAGGGAACCCTCCCGTTCACAGGCCTGCCCAGAGATTCAAACAGACAGACCCACTGGCTCATTTCCCAGTGGATTTTGTCATAATTCTTTTATTTATTTTATTTTATAAGTTTTTGTTATTGATTTTTGAGAAAGAGGAAGGGAGGGAGAGATAGAGACACTGATGAGAGAGAACATTGATTTGCTGCCTCCTGCCTGCCCCCCCACTGGGGATCGGGCCCACAACCTGGGCATGTGCCCTGACCAGGAATTGAAACGGCGACCTCTTGGCGCATGGGTCGACGCTCAACCTCTGAGCTACACTGGCCGGGTGTTGTCATGATTCTTTTAAACAGATCAGCTTTGATCAGACATGGCCACCCCCATGGGGATAACCATTACAAGAATAAATTCTGTATCTGAGCTCCCATTCTTCTTCAGGTAAATATCACGGGGGTAACCTGAATCGTAAGAAGGAAAGAAAAAGAACAACATTGTCATTTTTTCTGAGCCACCTCTAGATCAGGGAGGTTGAAGGCTTGCGGGAGCTGTCCAGGGTGCTGAGCCAGACCTTTAGTCTGACCCTGCCGGTTTATGACCTTGGCTGGATCCTGTGTGGAGTACCCGTCACACAGAGAGTCCCAGCTGACCCCTCCTGAGTTGGACGAAGGAAGAAGGCGCCTTTGTTGGAATATTCAATGAGTAGGGATGATTAACGCCTTTGAAAGCAGGGAACGTGGAATGATTTCCAGAGAAGGCTGTCACCTCACTGATCACTCCTCCGCCCTGGGATTTCTCTGATGCGGAGTCACCTGTGAGGGGAGGTAGGACAGTCCCCCTGGGGAAGTTGTGCCAGCCTTGGCTGTGAGCTGCTGCTCTGTGTCACCAACCCGCTCATCATTCAGGAGGAGGCTGGGAGACATTCGGCGTTTCCCGTGGATGCCATGAGCACGAGAGGTGTGCGCTCGTGGGCTGTTACTTTATGCAAAGCGATGGGGTTGCAGTGCTGTGTTTCCAGTGAAGTCAAGCAGGCAAAGTCAGAATTGCCACTTTCCAAAACCCTGGCTTTAGTGTCACCAACGGGAGCCAAGATGTTTATTAGAACAATTTATTCAAATTAGTCTGTTTTTATTACAGGCAGGCCATCTCAGCCCCGAACAGCTGTCCCTGGTCCTGGCAGGTAATGGCCAGTCTGAGCCACATGTTCTTGTTGTTTCCAGAGCTCCGTGGGGGCCCTGGGCGGGCCATCCCTGCCATGTTAGCACAGTCCACTTCCCATGTTCCACTCGCCACCTTCCCTGGGGGATGGCATCATGGTTACCCAGAGAGTCGTACGGCCCTGCTTGTCCTGTGGCCGAAGGGACCAGAGCTGCCCTGGCCAGCGTCCTATTTTTAGAAGGAAAGCATAAAGGTATTTAAATAGCATCTTTATCTAAGACGCCAGGAGCCCCGGGTCCACGTGGGCCTCTAACCTTGTTCATTTCAGATGCTACGTCTCGTGCCCCCTCCCTCCCCGGAGATGCACATTCGAGCAGCAGATGGGATCTCCCGAGGAGAAGTAGCACACGCCCACTCTGCTGCCTCCTTGCAAACAGCCCTGCTTCCTTAGTGTGAGCTGCGGTTGTCATGGCGACGAGTGGTCGGGAGGGAGTTTGAGAAAATGCTGATGCGGAGGGAAGGCTTGAGCCCATAGAAGTTTGGGGGGGGGTCGCCATGATAAGTGGACCTGCGACCATGTGTCACCCTAGAGGGAGCACCTCTCCCGTTTGTCACGGGCACCGAGCGCCGGGTGAGTGGCTGTCCCGGTGTTGCCTCCTCCCCCGTGTACCTAGCACCCTGCTGAGACCGTCACGCTACATCTATGGTGCTGCCTCTACCAGAGACACCCGGCTCCAGCCCAAGCTGCCACGTTCACAGAGGGTGTCTCAGGCCGTTCAGGCTGGTGGGGTGCTTACAAACGAGGACATTTGTTGCTCACTGCTCTGAGGCTGGGTGTCCAAGGTCACGGAGCCAGCAGACCGGTGTCTTGTGAGGACCTGGTCCACAGAGGCCGTCTTCTCGCTGTGTCCTCGCATGGCGAAGGGTCTCGGGCTCTCAGAGGTCCCTTTCCAAGGGCATGAATCCCATTCCCGAGGGCTCCACCCTCACGACCACATCAAATCCTAATCACCTTTCAAAGGCCCTCCTCCCCAATCCCACCACTTGGAAGGTTAGTTTCAACTTGGGAATTTGGAGAGATACAGACATTCAGTCTACAGCGGGTGTTGCTGGCCCAGCCGTTGGTTGATTTCCTTGGAGTGTCTAGAGTCTAGAGCCCGTCCATCTGGTTCCCAGTGAGACCGTACTGGCCTTCAGACTATGAATTCGTGAACTCGGCCTAGGGAGGGTCACCAGGTTAGATCTCTTTGAAACAAGAAGGTAAGATATTGCCATGGTCACTAAGGGGGCAGGACAGCAGAGGGGCCTCTGGGCAGGTGTCCTGAATCAGCTTCACTTACGGTGGATGGAAACAGCGTCTGAGGTGACAGCCAGCCCTGGAGTCCCCTTTGGGAGACTTGGCCCGACGTGCTTTGGCCGTTGAGGGAAGAACAGAGCCAGGGGGGCCCTGGGAGAGTTACCTAGGAGCTCGGGAACAAGCCTGGCTCAGCGGGACCCTCGCAGGAGTGGTCCCGGGCCAGGCACAGCCCTGCGGGGGCGGGGGCACCGTCAGCTCAGCTGAGTCAGCAGAGGTTCACTGGGGGCAGCCCCAGGGCATCAGAGGAAGGATGGGTTCACTCCAGGGAAGGAGGGCTGTGCAGCGTGGGGGATCATCGAAAGTCTAAGAGCCCCACTTGGGGACACGCTAACCCTCCTAGAGCAACTGAGTGAAGTCAAGGGTCATGGCAGTGACTGCTTGCTAAGCCTGTGGGAGCCTGGCCACTAGTACCTGTTTCCTCTCCTGTACAGCAGGGATGGGACGGCCCATCCCCGTGGTAAAGGGTGTTACGCACAGCGTTAACTTATGCATTTACAAATAAATACAACGTGTAATATATTTATACTATAAGTGTAAACTTATTTATAAATAACTCACCATCATCTGTGTCGTCCTCATCATCTTCATACTGTTGCTGCTTGACCATTTATTTCCAGAAAGTTCTGGACTTGACTTAGGCTGGTTTACCAGAGCCCCCTTGGGGATTTGGACAGTGATTTTAATGTTATGGGTCTGGCTTCCCTCTGCTAGATGGTACAAAGGAATACATAGAAAAATATTTATATCCCTAAGCTTTACATTTTATTGAATTGAAGTAAAAGGAATTTTAATGTGGTGTCATCTTTAAGATTTACGTCAAGTCCTTGGGGCATTTTATTTTATTTTATTTTTTTTTATCCTCACCTGAGGACATTTTTCTATTTTTTGTTCAGGTAGAGTGGGAGGGGGAGAGAGGAAGAGAGAGAGAAACATCGACGTGAAGGGACACATCGAGTGGCTGCCACCCGCACGACCAACCAGGGCCGGGGACAAACTGCAACCGAAGTACATGCCCTTAGCGGGAACCGAACCCGGGTCTCTCCGGACCGCAGGCCGACGCTCTAACCGCTGAGCCAAACCAGCCAGGGCAAGAATTCAGTCATTTTAGAAATAGGATTTTAACTCTTGGACACAGTGGATGGGAAGGGAGGCTGGTGAAGCTGCTGTAGAAGTTTGGGGGTTTCTCACAAAATTAAAGAGAGAACCGTATGACCCCGCAGCTCCACCCGGGTGTTTAGCCACAGGGCTGACAATGGTCTCTAACAGAAACCTGCACAGCCATGTTCAGAGAAGCATTATTCACAGTAGACAGAAAGCAGAAACAACCCAAGCGTCCATCGACCGCTGAGTGTATGACCACAGTGTCATCTGTATACACAGTGAGATCTTATTCAGCCTTAAGAGGAAGAAGAGTCTGACAGAGGCTACGTCATGGACGAGCTTTGAGGACGTCATGCTAAGTGAAATAGCTAGACTCCAAAGGACAAATTCTGTCTGATTCCGCTTGTACGAGGCTCCTAGAGTCGTCACGTTGATTGAGACACCCTGGTGATCACAGGTGCTGGGGTGTGGGAACGAAGGTTCGTGTTTGCGGGGACCGTCTCAGTGTGGGAAGATGATGTCCTGGAGATGATGATGGTGATGGATACGCAACCATGTGTAGCTGAACCAGGCACTTAAAGACACTTAACATGGTCCTGGCCGGTTTGGCTCAGCGGTTAGAGCGTCGGCCTGCGGTCCGGAGAGACCCGGGTTTGGTTCCCGCTAAGGGCACGTACTTCGGTTGCAGTTTGTCCCCGGCCCTGGTTGGTCGTGTGGGTGGCAGCCACTCAATGTGTCCCTTCACGTCGATGTTTCTCTCTCTCTCTCCCTTCCTCTCTCTCCCTCCCACTCTATCTGTACAAGAAATGGAAAAATATCCTCGGGTGAGGATAAAAAAAAAAAAAAAAAGACACTTCACATGGTCCTGGCCGGTTTGGCTCAGTGGTTAGAGCGTCGGCCTGCAGTCCAGAAAGATGCTTAACGTGCATAAATCTTGCATTATGGGTGCTTTACCACAATTAAAAATAGTAAGTCAATGCCATTAGAAAACATGATGCAAAGAACATTTTAGAAGTAGCCAGGCAGACGTCGTAATGAAAGAGAAGTTGCATCAGTTTAGATCGGTGTGCATGTACACACACGTGCACACGCAGGCAGTTCACAGATCTGGGTCAGACTGCACCTCCAGTTCTGCAGCTTGGTCGATTGTTCTGACGGGAGAATTCCATCTCCCCTTCTCTTCCCGGCCTCCAGGTCTGCGAGGGTTTGGAGCAGCTGAGGAAGCAGCAGCGCTCAGATCTCAACGGGCCCGTCGATAACAACAACGTCCCGGAGGTAATTTTCCCACAAATGCCAGTTCTGGCCCAGGGCCCCAGTGTCGGGGCCGCCCACCCTGCTGTGGGCTGCTCGGTCTCCACAATGTTCTCATCCCACCCAGAGCCTTCGGGGAGGGAGTCCAGGTCAGGCAAAGCTGAGTGTCCCCGTCACGGGAGGAGGCGAGGGCGGCTGGCCCTGCTGACTCAGGCTCGCACCCTGTGTGTTCACATGTTGGTGACAGCATATCGGGGGTTGTAGGTGCTCCCAGATTTGACTGCAGCTTCCTCTACCCATTATCTGACATGTTCTGAACCCGAGTGGTACTGCTGACATTTGGGGCAAGACCAGCCAGGGGCTGTCCTGTGCACCGTGCGGTGTTTACAAGCACCCCTGGTCTCTACCCATGCGGTGCCAAGTTGCGACAACCAAAAATGTCTACAGATGTTGCCAGATGTCCCCACAGGGAGCAAAGTCATCCTGGTTGAGAACCACTGTTCTTTTCTTTCTTTCTTTTTTTTTTCTTATCCTCACCCGAGGATATTTCTCCATTTTTTGCACAGATAGAGTGGGAGGGAGAGAGAGAGAGAAACATCGACGTGAAGGGACACATCGAGTGGCTGCCACCCGCACGACCAACCAGGGCCAGAGACAAACTGCAACCGAAGTACGTGCCCCTAGCGGGAACCGAACCCGGGTCTCTCCGGACCGCAGGCCAACGCTCTAACCGCTGAGCCAAACCGGCCAGGGCCTGTTCTTTTCTTTTAATCTTCACCCAAGGATATTTTTTCTATTGATTTTTAGATAGAGTGGGAGGGAGGGAGAGAGAGAAAAGCATCGATGTTAGAGAGACACATCGATTAGTTGCCTCCCACACAACCCAACCAGGGCCGAGCATCAAATCTGCAGCCCAGGTACATGCCCTTGACTGGGAATCGACCCCAAAACCCTTTGATCCTTTGGCCGACGCTCTAATTGCTGAGCCATACTGGCCAGGGCAAGAGAACCATCGTTCTTAACCAACAACATAATTTAAGAGGTGATCCCATGTAAACCAACACCACCATGATGGAGGTTACTAAAATGAGGCTGAAAACAAGTTCGCCCCTTTTCTGGATAACATCATTTGGGTGAAATTTATAACATTGATGGTTAGCAATGGCCTCGCATGGGGTGGGGTGCTGTTCCCTTTGTCTTGCTTTTACAGCCATGCCCTGGTCATTCTCATGCCCACCGGTTGGAGAACCACTGGGTGGGATGGTCTCTAGGTCCCCAGGTGATAGTTGGTGCTGGCCTTCTGTACCTCGTAATTAATTCCTCAGAATTATGGGAACAAGTTTTCCCCCTGGAAGTAGATTATACGTGCCCCTACCATGCTCCACGGTGCCTGAACGAGACCAGATTACCTCCTGGGGATGCCAGTCAGTCACGGGATTAGCCTGTCACATGATGCCACTCATCACAGCCTCGGTTGTACGGGCCACCTGCTCGTAACTGTTACTCTTTTTTTTGCCCAACAGACAAAGAAGGTGGCATCCTTTCCGAGTTTTGTGGCTGGTAAGTGGCTCTGAACTTTCTCTTTCAGGGCTAGTTGCGTTTTCTGTCAAAGCAAATGGTCCTGGTACTTTTTTGGAGGAGGGGGTTTCTCCTGCAGTGTTTAGAGAGCACACCTTGGAGGTGGAGACAGTGCTAGAATAAGGCAGGGTCCCTGCATATTTGCTTACTTGAAGGTTACAGGCCCTTATCAGGTATATGTGTGTTGGGGGGGGGGGGTCCAGTTAGTCAGTGCAAGGTAGACCAGCTAGACCGTCGCATCCAATTACACCCTCAGTCATGGACTCACCCAGGACGCTGTATATTCCTGTCTCCTCTGTCATAGGTTAAGTGACCATAGAAGCAAGGACTTATTTATATCCATTTTTGTGCCAGTGCCACACTGTTTTGATTATTGTAGCTTTGTGGTACACACTATGCACATGACATTTGAACTCATCTCTAGTACTCCATTTGGTCAGCATAAATAGATTTAGATGTGTTTGAAAATTGCTTTTATTCACTAGTAGAGGTTAGTGAAGATTTTTGTGACTAGTGCTTGGATCAAGACAAGGGTTAGAAATTCCTGTGACACTTTCTGTTTTCCCTCTGCACACCCCAGACCCTCTCTGCAGAGGGAACCTTCCTGTGCACCCTTTCAGCACATTTCTGGACAAACCTACGTCCAGATGTTGTACTTAAAACAGATGTTGAACTTGCCTCGTGGGTCTGCACTTTGCTTTTTTATTTCTTTTCTTCTTCTTTTTTTTATCCTCACCCAAGGATATTTTTTCCATTGATACATTTTTTTTAGAGAAAGTGGGAGGGAGGGAAGGGAGAGGGAGAGGAGGAGAGAGAGAGCGAGAAAGAGAGAGAAACATGGACGTGAGAGAGACACATCGATTTGTTGCCTCCCACACATACCCCCAACCAGGGCCAGGGATCGAACCGACAACCAAGGTACATGACTGTGAATGGGAATCAAATCCAAGACCCGCGGGTGCATGGGCCGATGCTCTAACTACTGTGCTACATCAGCCAGGGCTTCATTTCTTTTCTTTTAACGATTAAAAGAAAAATGCCCAGCCGGCGTGGCTCAGTGATTGAGCATCGACCCATGCACCAAGAGGTCATCGGTTCGATTCCCAGTCAGGGCACAAGCCCAGGTTGTGGGCCCAATCCCCACTGGGGGCATGCAGGAGGCGGCCAGTTGATGTTCTTTCTCATCGATGTTTCTCTCTCTCCCTCCCACTCTCAAATCAATACAGAAAAAAAAAATTGTTTTTAATTTAAAGATTAAAAAAAATGCATTGATTAATTTGAGAGAGAGACAGACAGACATTGATTTATTGTTCCACTTACTGGGACATTCATTGGTTGTCTCTTGTATGTGCCCTGACCAGGGATCCAACCTGCAACCCTGGCCTATTGGGACGATGCGCCAACCAACTGAGCCACCCAGCCAGGGCTGCTGTTTCGTTTCTTAGTAGATCCTGGAGACAACATCTATTGACCCAGCTAATTGTCTGAGTGGCCAGGGCCCGTCATGGCATCAGGTGTCTTAAACTCCGCGCCTTGCTCTTACGCACTCGATGAGATGGCTTGGGTGCAGGGTGCTGCCTCGCTCCCGTCTCCCGGTGTCTGCTGTGTGAGCCCGGGGTGTCCGCAGGCCGCAGCTGCAGGCTGACGGCCACCGCAGTGACCCGATCTAAACTTCCACCGAAGGTCCCCAGAGCTGAGGTGTGTTCAGGTGACGCCCAGGCCTCCTGGCTGTGTGCGTGGCTTTCTGCCGTGGTTTAAAGGGCACAACTGTTGCAGACAGTCGTTTGGAAAACTGGTCCCAAATCTGGAGTTGGTTGTCACGGCTCAGATGACAGCCTGCCACTCTCTGAGCTCCCAGTGCCTGAGCAGCCTGGGTGGGGAGGCCCAGACTTGCGGGACACCGAGGTGACCAAGTGTGCGAGTCGCAGAGCCTGAGCTGCGTCCCACCCGCGCCCTGCCACCCGCTGTCCAGCACAGGAGCCGCCGGCCACACGTGGCTGTGTGTGCATGAACACTCAGAGCTGGGCGGCTCAGGTCTTCAGGTGCCGTGGTGGAGGGGCTCAGAGCCACATGTCACTCCTGTCCTGAGCAGTGTGGAGACAGAACAGTCCTCCCCGTGGCGGGACGTCCCGGTGCTAGGGCCACAGCTGCCAGCCTGACCGAGTGTGGGGGGTGGGAGGACCAGGAGCCTGCAGCACCGAGCCGAGGAGGCTCAGGAGGATCGCAGGGTGACAGCAGTTCCCATCACCACCCTGAGTTCTAGGGGCCCCGGGGCAGGTGTGGAAATGCTGTGTGCAGGGAGTGGGAGCCCTCTGGGATGGCAGCCCCGGGCTGTCACCTGGAGGTGACGGAGGTCCCTCGTGTGACAGTTTGCATGGGGTGTTCTGGCCGCGTGGTGGTGGCACGGTGGGGGAGCCCAGCGCCCCGCCTGCTGCAGACAGCCCGTCTTCGTCCCTGACCCGGGGCGTGGCCGTCCTGTGGGGCAGCGCTAACTGTGCTCCTTCAGTGCCAGGGCCTTGCGAGCCAGAGGACCTCATTGACGGGATCATCTTCGCCGCCAACTACCTGGGGTCCACCCAGCTGCTCTCGGAACGGAACCCGTCCAAAAACATCAGGATGGTGCAAGCCCAGGAGGCCGTCAGCCGGGTCAAGGTGGGGTGGGCTCGCGGGGAGCCTGGGTGGGGGCGGGCAGGACACGCACCGTGACCAGCTCTGACCCACAGCCTTGGATGGGACGGTGCCGGGCTGGGCACACGGGCAGCAGGCTCCTTAGTGAGGGCTGCCACCGGGCCACCCAGAAGTAGGACGTTGAGGACGACGCTGACTGGCGTGCAGTCTGAATCCCGGGCGCAGCCTGGGGCCTGCACAGCCGTCCAGGTGCTGCTTGCAGACGGGGAGCTGACCTCACGGTTCAGTTCGATTCGTGGCGTCAGGAAAAGCTCGGGCATCCTCACAGCTCCGGGTTGGTCGCCCGAGTTTGGAGGCCGGGTGCAGCTGGGCAAGAAGATGAGGCCACGTCCGCAAAGCTGATGGGGTCGGGGTGCGGTGGTGTGGGGGTGCTGCTGCCCTGCGGGGTGAGAAACCGGACACACCGAGCTCTGTTAGCAGAGGGAAGGGGGTCCCAGGCACGAGCCCCGCAAAGGCAGCCCGGAGCCTGCTGTTCTGCCCTGGAGCCCGGCGGCCGACCCCTCGTGGCCCCGCTATTAGGAACCTCCAGCACTTGAGGGCCGTGTGCCCCTCGAGGTGGTGGCTGCTTCTCTGTCCCTGGGCACGAGGTCTGAGCGCTGGGGTGTTGACCGTAAAACGAAATAACTCTGCTGCCCCTTCCTTCTCGGCAACCACCATTCTTCCTTTCTTTACATGCTGTTCAGAGGATGCAGAAAGCGGCTAAAATCAAGAAAAAAGCGGTGTGTGGGGCTGGGGGGCTGCTTGTGCTTCTGTGGCTTGTCCTGTGCGGGGGCGGGGGTCCCACAAACAGATAACATGGCAATTGGCATGTCCTCTTCCCTTGTGGGTAAATGCTAGATTTTGGATGAAACCATGGATATATTTTTTAACCGCCCTCAGACAGAAGAATTTAATCTTTGCCCTTTTTAATAAAAAAAAATTTTTTTGATATTATTATTGATTTTAGAGAGAGAGGAAGGGAGAAGGAGAGAGATAGAAACATCGATGAGTGAGAACATCGATTGGCCGCCTCCTGCAGGCCCCCCACTGGGGATCAGGCCCACAACCTGGGCATGTGCCCTGACCGGGAATCAAACCAGGTGCATGGGTCATGCTCAACCACTGAGCCACACCGGCTGAGCTCATTGCCCATTTTTTTAAATCTTCACCTGAGGGTATTTTTCCATTTATCTTTAGCTAGATTGGGAGGGAGGTGCGGGGGGGGGGGGAACAGAGATAGAAACATCAACGTGAGAGAGATCCATCAACTGGTTGCCTCCCGCATGACCCCGACCAGGGCCGGGGATGAACCACAACTGAGGTATGTACCCTTGACCAGAATTGAACCCACGACTCTTTGGTCTGCAGGCTGACGCTCCAACCACTGAGCCAGACTGATCAGGGTACTTATTGCCCTTTTTAAAAAAAAAAAATTTTTTTTAAGCCTGGCCAGTGTGGCTCAGTGGTTGAGCATTGACCCTGCACCAAGAGGTCGTTGGTTCGATTCCCGGTCAGGGCACATGCCCAGGTTGTGGGCCTGATCCCCAGTGGGGGGCGTGCAGGAGGCGGCCAATCCATGTTCTCTCTCATTGATGTTTTTATCTGTCTCAAATCAGTAAAGAAAAAATATGTTTTAAAAAACCAAAAATTGTTTAAGTGTCTGTACACTGGCATGTGCCAGAACATGGTTAATGCTGGGATGTTACTGTTTTTCACACAGATGTTTTTAAACGTGGCAATCGGTAAGTCCACGTGATCTGTTTAGTTGCTGGGCCTCCTGTAGAGAATTAATTAAATCGTTCAGATATTTAAAGACTCATTAAGTTTAATTTACTAAATCTGGTTGATGAGAAGTTCCAGTTTGCCCATGAGATGCTTTCTTTATTGAAAAGTCTCTGGAGCGTGGACAGACTTTCAAAAATTGGTTTGATCTTCAGTCCTTGTTTGTAAACCTGGTCGTTGGGTAAATGCTGAGCCCTCTCTCCCCGCCCTCCTGATAGAGCAGAGGTTTAGTCTTCCATCCCCCCGGGACGTCATTTTCTGGGGTGCGGCGCAGGACCCTTCTGGGGGCTCCCCTCCCCCCACAGTGACACTTCCCTGCCTGTGGACGGCAGCCTGTCCTCATGTCTGGGCGCAGGCAGATGGGGCTCAGAGCAGCCTCAGCGGCAGCCAAGGCAACAAATCATCTCCAGGAAGGGCTGTCCTTCCTTCCCGGCGGGGAGATGCTCAGGGTCACTGCCAAGAGCCCCTTTTCTGGTCTGCCCACAGCTGATGATGAGAGGTGCTCTGTGAACCTGAGCCCCGGGAGTGGGGGGTGTCCCCAGCAGAGAGCCACCCCACGCACAGACCCACTGGTGACCAGGGTCAGGGCCCCCATCCACAGACGTGCCCACCCATTGTCTGGTGTCCCCTGTAGGATCTGCATTGATGCTGCTCCCCACTTCCCCAGCGGGGAGTATGCCGGGAGACCTTGCCCGCCCCGTTCGTGGTCGGGGTTCAGCTTCATACGTCCCCTCTCCAGCTCGAGTGCAGCTCACGCTTCCTCCAAAACTGTCGGAAAACTGTCGGGCCACCGGCAGAGTTTCTGCTCTAGTTCTGTCCAGACCTGCTTTCCCCAAGAAGGTTCTGGCAACAACCCAGAACCACCTTCCCAAACGTCTGCATGACAGCAGGAAGCCCGGTTTTGAAATCGAGGGAAAGTGATCCCTCCACGGTCCTGCAGACTGGTCTTCAGCCGCATGTTTTGGGTTCCCTGGTCCGGGTCGTCATTTGAGAGCAGGTGACCGGCGGTGGGCCGGACGCCCGGGAGCCCTTTGCCTTGAACACTGAGCGAAAACACGGGTCTGTCGTCTTAGCGTGGGGCCCCTTGCAAGTCACAATCTCTGAGGAATTGTCAGCAGGGGCGGTTTTGATTCCAGATTTTCTAGCGAGGAATTAAATCGCAGTTTCCACGCTCTGGAAGGGAAGATAGAGCGCCACAGGCTCCCGAGGGGCCGCAGAGACTCATTTACTGCAGTCAGCAAACCAAAGGCACTGATGTGTTATCTCCGCTGTGCAGAAGCGATTAGGGTTCCCGCAGATGCACAGCCAGTGAGAGGCTGTCCTGGTTTCGGGGGCAGACCCTGAGTCGTTCTCTCAGCTTCCGGAACCTTCCGTGTGCACATAACTCATGGCCCGACGATGAGCATCCTCCAGGAGGTGACACGGGTGCTGTGTGACAGCGTCTTCCGGCCTGTCCTGCGTCAGAGCGCAGCACGCGGTCCAGTCGGGTCTTGCTCCCATTGGGGTGTTTGGAAAACGGGGACCAAGCCTGCTGGGGGTGGGAGGGTGGGCGTGATTGTGACTGTTTCAGTCGGAAGAAAATGCTGACATTTTAATCCAGCGTCTTCGGAAATCCCTTCCCCATTTCCTGGGGATGCGTAGAATCAACGCGGAGGAATGGGGCCCAGGGACACAGACCACGTCTTTGCCGGGCTTGATCCCCGTGGCTGCAGACACTTTTCCGAGCGACAGCCTGCTCTCCGGGCGGCTGGGCGCCGTGCACAGGCCCCGCTCCCCCCGTGCTCATCGCCGGAGCGCCCTCCCTCCTCCCCTGCAGACCGGCTGCTCGGAAGGCGCAGGCGTCAGCTGCTCGCGCCGGAGCGCGGGTCCCTTTAGGGGTGCTCGGGCCCTTCGGAGTCTTGTGGGCTTTGTTCGGGCTGTTTCTTTTGATCTGTAACAGTGTCCACTGTCCTCCCCTAGAGTTCCGAGGGGGACGCCCAGACTCTGGCGGAAGTGGACCTCTTCATCTCCACCCAGAGGATCAAGGTGTTAAATGCGGACACACAGGTGAGCCTTTGAAGACGGCTGTTCAAGTTCGTGTAAATGAACGATGGACGCCCCACGCGGGGACCCCAGGACACGGTCTGGCTGCATGGGCACCCTGGGCGTCTCTCAGGCCAGGGCGGCGTGACAGGGAGACTCCTGTCCGATGACAAAAGCCATGGACAGTGACGGACTTGCCAGGGGCTGAGGGGTTTGAGTGGCGGCGGAGACCCATCGATGGGGCCGGTGAGCTGCCTCGGTGCCCCTGACCCAGCCCGGGCTGCCTGGACCCCTGACCCCTCATCTGTGGGAAACACTGGCCGCCAAGCTTCCCTCCTCCACTGGGCAGGAGTCTGGGCCAGGCACGTGCTTTGCAGGGAGGGGACCCTTCTCCAAAGCCATGGTCGTCTCTGCTCAGGTGGGTCAGGCTCCTCGGGGACCAAGAGCCCCACCCAGACTGGAGCAGAAATCACCACCCTGACGTGCTCTGTGCTCAAAAGCAGTGATTCCCAACCTGGGGCAGTTTGTCCCCCAGGGGGCATTTAGCAAGGGCTGGCGATCGTTTATTTAGAGGCTGTGCTTTGGGGAGGTGGTGGGTACTGGCTTCCGGGCAGGAGGCCCCTTCACAGTGACCAATGGTCCGGCCCCAACCGGCAGTCAGGTTGAGGCTGAGCACTGTGAACTCCATGCTCTTTTTTTAAAAAAAATGTTTTTATTGTTTTTTGTTTTTTTTTTAAGAGGGGAAGGGAGAGATAGAGAAACATCAATGTGAGAGAAAAACATGGATTGGCCACCTCCTGCACGGCCCCTTCGGGGGGTCAGGACCCAGGCATGTTCCCCGACGGGGAATTGAACCGGGACCTCTCAGTCCGTGGGATGACGCTCCGTCCGCTGAGCCACACCGGCCGGGCTCGAGTGTTCGTGGCTGGCTTGCTGCCCACTGCGCTCCCTCATGTGGGCCCTCACCCTCTGCCCACAGGAAGCCATGATGGACCACGCCTTGCGCACCATCTCCTACATCGCCGACATCGGGAACATCGTGGTGCTGATGGCCCGGCGGCGCATGCCCCGCTCGGCCTCCCAGGACTGCATCGAGACCACGCCGGGGGCCCAGGAGGGGAAGAAGCAGTACAAGATGATCTGCCACGTGTTCGAGTCTGAGGACGTGAGTAACCCCGGTGTGGGCCCCGCGGGACCCCGGGACCCCGGGCTCCTCGGAAGCCGTGCGGCAGTGCTGGGCACCATCACGGGCAGAGACTGTGAACACGGTTTTGTTTCGCTTTATGCAAGTTCTGCAGGGGCCATTTCTAACCTGAGCCGTAGTTAAAGGCACCGGGGAGCTGGCTGGCTGCAGAAGGCCCCCCTACACACACACACCTTTCCGCCTGGCGCAGAGCAGCCCTTGGCCGACTCTGCTGCCGTCAGGACGCACGCTGTCGCCTGGCAGGGCCGCGTTGAGGGAGGCGCAGCCGCACCTGAGTCTGGCTCTGCCTTCGCTCAGGGCCACTCCGTTCGCTCAGGGCCACTCCGGTCTTCACAGGTTAAAAAACGATTCTGGCGTTTAGGATGCGGTAGACTCGCCAGGGGGCAGAAAGCCTCGGATTCCCCCTTGATGGGGTGCAAGCCCCTTGCTGAGCCTGGCAGTGGGAGAGACAGCGGAGAGGGAGCTGCAGGGCCAAGCAGGGAGCTGGGGGGCAGGCACCGGGCCTCCTGCTGCCCCCTGCAGGCGGGTCTTGCTAATGCTGAGTGCTTCTGGCTGTGGCCAGAGGACAGTTTTTAGAAAAGCCTCTCTCCTCCCTGAACACTCGGAAGGGTCACTTGTTCACATGCGGACTTGAGGGTGTCTCAGGGTGAAGGGAGCCATGCTCTCAGACCACCCTTCCCAGCCCGGGCACCTCGGTCAGATGGAGATGGACCCTGAGGCCTGGGTGCGGTGGGGCGGGTTCTGGCCTCCCGGTCCCCTCCGCCCTGCCCCCTCCCCCCAGGCCTGATTTCCAGCTTCTGCTGGGGCCTCAGCAGTGCTCTTAGCTGTGCCAGCCGGTGGCATCCCCTGGTGGTCCCTGGGCGCCACCTGGTGGTCCCTGGGCTCTGTGCCTCTGCCCCTCTGGGCAGCAGCACCCAGATGCTGGTCTGGGGAGGGAACTGGGCTCGTTGCGCTGAGCGAACATGGGCTGGCCCTTCCTGGGGTGTGCCCAGGTCCAGAAGGGGAGGGCGGGTCAGTCTGCGATGCGCACTGTGTAAGGAAAGCCTCCGGGCCCTGCCAGCCTCGTCCCAGGCCCGGCTCGCCGCCCCTGAATGAGGCAGTGGGCGTGGTCACAGGGGGACTTCGCTGGACAGGCCAGAGCTCGCGTTTTCACTTGCTTTCGGGTCCCGTTACCCCGAGGCTTGCTGGGGGTGCCCATTGCTGAGGCCCCCTCGATGGCAGCTGGGGGACAGTGGCAGGGGAGGTAGACCAGAGCTGCTGGGTGGGAGGAGGCCCGGCTGGCCCCGGGTTCTGCTGCTGGGAGACAGGGCCGATGGGCAGACCACCAGCAGCATCTGTGACGCTCCCGAGAACACAGCTCAGGTGTCCTGGGACGGAGACGGGTGGGAAGGAAGTGCAGTGGCCACCAAGGGAGCAGCGCGACCTCGGACGTGCAGGTTCTTGCAGACTGTTTGACCCCATGCTCTGTCCTGGACCGCCTAGGCCTTAGAGCGGCTCAGGTGGGGCGGTCAGGACCAGGTCCGCACAGGTCCTGGAGCAGGAAGTTCACCCCACGGAGGGGTGTTGGTGGAAGACAGCTGTCAGTGGAAGAGGGCCCCCAGCTCCTCTCGAGGGCCCCGTGCACCCCGCGCTGCTGCGGAAGCCCCTCTGAGGCGGAGCCGTGTGCACGCTGGTCGCTAAGGCTGCCCCTCCCCCAGGCCCAGCTGATTGCCCAGTCCATCGGCCAGGCCTTCAGCGTGGCCTACCAGGAGTTCCTGCGGGCCAACGGCATCAACCCCGAGGACCTGAGCCAGAAGGAGTACAGCGACATCATCAACACCCAGGAGATGTACAACGATGACCTCATCCACTTCTCAAACTCGGAGAACTGTAAGGAGGTGAGCGGAGCCGGGGAGACTCCTGCATGAGCCGCCGCAGCCGCGCCCAGCTCGCTCCAGGTCAGCTCGCACGCAGAGGGCCCGAGCAGGCCGCGTGGCCTGGGCACAGACCCGCCTCCACCGCCACCGCAATGTGCCCAGACCTGCAGCTTGTCCTGCCCGGGAGCTGAGCAGTGTGTGAGATGAGGTGCTCTTCTAACAGAGAAGCTGTCACACTCGGTCTTCATGACCTTGAAATGGGCCCTTAATGCTGCTGTTACCCCCCAGCGGGCACCCAGCACACAGAGAAGCCTCTGGGAGGCCTCTTGTCAGCAGGGACCTTGGGGCAGCTGCCAGGAGTGAACACCGGGGTCTCCTGGGACAGGGGCTGATGCCCTGGGGGTCCCCTGGACGCCGGCTGCTGAATTATCTGACAGAGTAACCCTTGAAGCCGAGAGGAAATAAGAAGGACTTTTCTAGACAGAAGCAAACCGGGGTCAGGGTGGAGTCCTGGAGTCTCGAACTCGGAGAACTCGGAGAACCCCCTCCAGGGGTTGGGAGGCCGAGGGAAGCAGCACCAGGCAGAGGCTGGGCTGGGCTGGGCTGGGGAGGCAAGGCCGGCATGGTTCCCAGCGCGGCGGGTGGGCCCGGGAGGGCTCGGGAGTCAGCGGGGCCGGGCGGGGTGGCTGCAGCCCCAGCCCCACCTCGGCGCCCCTGACCTGCCGCTGTCCTCACAGCTGCAGCTGGAGAAGCACAAGGGAGAGATCCTGGGTGTGGTGGTGGTGGAGTCGGGCTGGGGCTCCATCCTGCCCACGGTGATCCTGGCCAACATGCTGAACGGGGGCCCCGCCGCCCGCTCGGGGAAGCTGAGCATCGGGGACCAGATCATGTCCATCAACGGCACCAGCCTGGTGGGGCTGCCCCTGGCCACCTGCCAGGGCATCATCAAGGTAGGCGCCCAGGGTCCGACGCGGTGGTCACCAGCCCTCCCCACTGTCCTCGATTCTGAGTTCGGAGACCCGCCTGAGCCTGTGCCACACCGTTGAGGTCAGAGCAGGACCCGCTGCCCGGAGGTGAGAGGCAGGTCGGGTTCACTCAGCTCACTGCTGAGCCACACGGACCCCGGGCAAGGGCTCAGGCCCCACCGATGCAGGGTGACCAAGTCGCCGTGTGCCGGGACCTGCCAGGTGAGCACGTGCGGGGCACCTCCTGGGCAGGCGGAGGGCTGGTCGCCCCTCGTGCGGCCGGGAGGCGGGTCTCACGCAAAGAGGCCCCTCTGAGGGTTTGAGCTGTGATCCTGCAGCTTACAGCACCTGAAGGTCGGGTGTCGGTCTGTGGTCTGTCCCCACCGCCTGTGGGGTTGGTGCTGGAGGCCACTCACTCCTCCGAGCCCGACCCCAGGCGCAGGCCCACCAGGGTGTCCACCGGACAGGCGACCTCAGAAACAGGCGGGCAGGCATGAGACTTAGCTCAGCCAGTGGTGCCCGGGGCTGGGGCAGCATGGGCCTCCCTCAGGGTCATGGTTCCTGAGCACTTGGCCACCAGGCTCTGCTGTGTTCGTGCGTGTGTAGGTCCGTCCACCCCCTCCAGGCAGCTGGGAGCCACCTGCAGGGAGCGGGCGGGAGCCATGGGGAGGCTTGAGCATCCTCACCTCCCAGAACCTCTGCCCGGGGCGCATGTTCTCTGCGCCGGAAGCTGCCTTTGGCTCCAGCTGGCCCGCCTGGGGTGGACACCAGCAGGGCGCTCCGCCCCCACCCCACCCATCCGTCACTGGGAGCTGTGTCCTCTGAGGGGTGTCAGAACAGCCCTTCCCACACGAAGGGTCCCTCTGCATTGCCGGGAACTGGCCGGTGGCTGTGCACCATGTCACAGCCTGGCGTCTGGCTCCGGCAGCTGCTTTTGCCCATAGCAGAGGGCACTCAGAGCACACACGGGTCTGGGAGGGCGGTGCCCTACCCTCGCAGCGGGACACTGAGGCCGGGAGGTGGCTGCCGCCCCAGGCTCTGCCCGTGCCGGTGGCCCCGTCCCCGGGCCAGCGAGGCCGTGCTCCCCTGTGACCCCCGTCTTCCTGCTCCTCAGGGTCTGAAGAACCAGACGCAGGTGAAGCTCAACATCGTCAGCTGCCCGCCGGTCACCACGGTCCTCATCAAGCGGCCAGACCTCAAGTACCAGCTGGGCTTCAGCGTGCAGAACGGAATTGTGAGTCTGCTTCTCTGTCCTTGGCGCCTCTTCCGGGGACCGGGTGCAGGGAGCTGGGGGACAGGCCCACATCTAGCCCCTTGCAGGCCAGGCAGGGAGGGAGGTCCCTCCAGCCCTGCCCTCGCCCCCTTGTGCCGTGATGGCCGCTCTCTGCAGACACCTGCTCAGGGGGAGGCACAGGGTCCCTTCCAGCCTCTGCAGTGTGGCAGCGTCAGACTCACTGTTCAGCCAGCAGGGATCCACGCGTTTGGTCATTCATTCATGCATTCACTCGCCCATTCATTCGCGTGCGTGAGGTTTCCGCCCTGTGTCAGATGCTGTGCCAGGCATGGAGGAGGCCGGAGGGCTTCCAGGAGGAGGTGACGTGGAACTTGAGTGACTGTTGGTCTGTCCCCAAAGCTGTGCCTGTTTCTCAGGCCAGAGTTCTTCGTTGCTAAGTTCCCATTTCCTTTTGGACCTGCACTGGGCCAGGGTGAGTTCCGTTTCCCTGGTTCTGGGAAAACCTTCCAGAACGGCCACGGCGAATGTCGGGTGCCGCAGCGCGGGTCCCCGGAGCTGGGAGACTGCAGCTGGGGTTCGAGGCCCAGCTCTGTCCCGTGTCGGCAGGCTTGCTGAGTAACAGGTGCTCCCCACGCCCCCCTCGCTTGTGGCAGAGATGCTCACGGCAAACGCCCGAGAACCTCTTCCACCTCTGGCTGGGAAATGGTGCTGCTGTGACCGTGGGCGCAGGACACCTGCTTTCTCGTCGGTCTGGCTTCATCGCTGCAAGTGCTGCTAAGCCCCGGTCCATCTGTCTGTCAGTGTTAGGAACCAGGCGGTGAAAGCCGCCCCACGGACCAGCTCTTATCGCGAAGCTGTGGGGCTGGAGGGTGGTGCGGGCACAGATGGCGTTCTGTCACCGTCTCACAGGGAGGTGGTCACTTGTCCCGAGGCTCCCAGCTGGAAGGGCCAGCATGGGCCTGAGGCTGGCTGTCCTGGGGAGCACGCCTGCCCATTGTCAGACACTGCTCAGCCGGGGACGTGGGCGTGGCATGGTGGCACCTGTGAGCAGCGCAGAGGCGACCTGTGTGTATCTCGGCCTGGGGCACCAGTGCCCATGCCCCAGAAGTGCATCCGAGGCCTTGACGGCCAGCGGCCAGGCTCCTCCCACGGAGACCGCGGTGCCCGCTGCCAGAGCTGTACCGGCGCCAGGTTCCCCAGAGCCCCGGAGAAGTTTGCCGACATCTGAGTTGGTCTTGCTCAAGCGCCTTTTCCATTTTCAGCTTCATTACACTCAAAGTACAACGCGTCCGTTTGCAGGCGGGCTCGGGGTGACCCAGTTAACGCTTTTTCTAAACGGCCACCTCCTCTCTCCCCGCGATGCCGTCCAAGAAGTGACGCCGTCTCCAGCCGGGAGTCACCCGCCTTCCTTCTGAGAAGGGCACCCTGTGAAGTCGGCAGCTCTGGGTCCCAGCTGGAGACTTCCGCCCCTCCGCCAGCCTGCCCCCCAAATTCCAGCTGGGGTTGGATGAGAGTGGCTATGACAGGCAGGATCCCCGAGAGGAGGCGGTCACCCCAGGGCGCGGAGGAGTCTTGGGTGTTGCAGAACCTTGCTGTGGAGTGACAAGGACAGCGAGGCGGAGCAGGGCCTGGCCGTCCCGCCCGGGTGTCCACTGCCCACAGCTGGGCCTCCCAACCTCGCAGGGTGTTGACCAGTTTCACCCTTTCTGACTCCAGTTGGGGTTCCCTGCCCTTAGGTATGAGGACCCCTAAGAGGACGTGAGAACCTCAGAGACAGTAGCTGCACAGGCCGCGTGGGTCGGGGGGGCTTCTCCCCCGGCAGGGACAAGAGCGAGTGCCTGGCGGGCGTGGCGGGCACAGGTGCTGACTGGCACCAGTTTTGCTTAGATCTGCAGCCTCATGCGGGGAGGCATCGCCGAGCGAGGGGGCGTCCGCGTGGGCCACCGCATCATCGAGATCAACGGGCAGAGCGTGGTAGCCACAGCCCACGAGAAGATTGTGCAGGCTCTGTCCAACTCAGTCGGAGAGGTGAGCTGCCCCGACCCCGCGGAGGGCCAACGGGCCACCGTTCCGAGTCCCGTCTGCCACCCGCCTGGCGTTAGCTTGGGCTGGAGGGAAAACTGCTTTTCAGGTAGACGAGGCTGAAGCCCTGGGTGGGGCCGGGGAGCAGTCTGCGGCGTTGGGGTGTCCACATCGCCATCCTTGGTGATGACCATGGGGTCATTCTTCCTGTACCCTGAAAACCTTCAGGGATCGGCACAGCCGCTGGCTTTGGGGCCGGAGAGGCCAGGGAGGGAGAAGTGGGGGAGGGAGCAAGAGGGGGGAAGGAGGCTGTCACCCCCTCTCTCTGCAGATCCACATGAAGACCATGCCCGCTGCCATGTTCCGGCTGCTCACGGGCCAGGAGACCCCGCTGTACATCTAGGCCCCCCGCTGCCTGGGCCCAGGAGCCGGAGGCCGGACCCAGGACCTGACCCCACACCCACCAGGGACGCTGGCTGCCCTGAAGGGATCCCCTGACCACCCACTTCTTTTTTCCTGACAAACAAGGGGTCTGCCTATATCAAAGGAGAGTCCAGGAACAATCTTTGTAAAACAGTCAAGTATTTGCTGCGTCCTGATCCGTTTTCTCATTGCGACTGACGAGGTGTGTGTTGTGCCTCCGTGTGCTGTGGATGTCTGTCCGAGGCTGTGAATGAGTGCGGTGTTTCGGGTGTGGCCACGAGGGGGTCCACAGCCAGCGCCTGGGCAGCAGAGGCGGGGCCTCGGGAGGCCCGACGGCCCCCGACGGGCTGGTGGTGCCGCTGCTGTGTCCTCCGGCAGCTGGCTCTCGGGACATCCTGTGAGTGCCGTTTGGGAACACGCGGTTGTACTGAACTTGGACAGAGGACCGTTCCTGAGTTAAATAAAAGATCATGGCCACACAGCAGAATTCCATAACGATTTAGCAAACCCGCTGGTTTGACTTTGAATTTTGACCAGCCGTCCTTCAGACTCGAGGGTTTTCGGATGACCCGTGACCTCGCCTGTGCTCTGGTCTCCGTAGACTCCCTGGGGACAAGGAGGCAGCCCGGGTGTCGGCCCTCTGCTTACACTCTGTCTACACACACGTGCTCCCCCCAGAAAACACAGAACCCCCGAAACTCGCCCGGTGCCACTTGGGGACAGCCGGGAGCCATTGACACAAGCAGTATTGGAGCGTGTGCATCAGCCCAGCCTAGTCCAGCTCCGCCCCTAGAGCTCAGTGTTACCGACGTCCTTGTGTCTGGAAGTCTCTCTGGCCCAGGCCCTGAAGATACACTGTGATTAAGAAGCCTTACCCGCAGTAACTGCAGCCCCCGGGCACCGTGCCCGAGGAGTGACCACCTGTGTGTTGCATGCTGCCCACCTTAGGAAGACTCGCTCACATCACCAATAAACCTGACTCATCACGAAGCTGTCTGTGTGGCTGGTTTGTTAACGGAGGAGCGGGCGCCACCTTTCCACTCCTTTTTTTCTTTTTTTTTAAATATGTTTTTATTGATTTTGTAGAGAAAGAAAGAAACATGGATGTGAGAGAGAAACATGGATCGGCTGCCTCCTGCGCGCCCCCTACTGGGGATCGAGCCCACAACCTGGGTATGTGCCCTGACCGGGAATTGAACCAGGGCCTCCCAGTCCACGGGGCAACACTCAGTCCACTGAGCCACACCGGCCGGGCTCCAGTCACTTCTAGACTCTACACCGGGCTCAAGGAGGCTGATGACCTGGTCCTTGGCGTCCCTTCTGGGTTTGGGGCCTCGAGGGCTCTCCCCAGCCTGGTCAGCAGGGGGCACTGCAGGCCCCAGGTGTGAGGCCAGCCTGGCCTGCAACACTGGAGGATCAGTGATGATGACAGGCACCAGGCTCACCCCTCGTCCACTGTGTCCCGACAGGCTGCCGACCAACTGAATAAGGGAGGGAGGTGCTGTGGGTTCCTCCCGGCCAAAGTGTAAACTCCCTCCGGGAGAGGCCCCCGGTGCGTGTTCCACAGCGTCGGGCCACCCAGCCATCTCCTGTGGGTCTTGACAGCCCTCCTGTAACTTATCTTCCTCCTTGGCCACAGTCCCGGGGGCCTCTGGTGTGGGGAGGCAGGGGTGAACCTGAGTGGTGGTCACGGGCCTGGGGACCTTGGACAAGCAGGACCGTCTCAGGCCCACCCACCTGCTGGGAGCCAAGGAGGAGGTGCTTCAGGGCTCGCTGGGACGCCCCCCATGGGTGACGAGGGAGAGGGTCCGTCCCGTGAGCAAAAGCTGGAGGGAGTCACGGAGTACGGCCCTGTAGTGCAAGACAGCTGGTGGACAGGGTCCCGAGAGGAAGTCCACGGCTAACAAATGACGTGCAGGGAAGGGGTGGGCACCGAATGACATACAAAAATCAACAGCCCTGGCCGGTTTGGCTCAGCAGTTAGAGCGTCGGCCTGCGGTCCAGAGAGACCCGGGTTCGGTTCCCGCTAAGGGCACGTACCTCGGTTGCAGTTTGTCCCCGGCCCTGGTTGGTCGTGCGGGTGGCAGCCACTCGATGTGTCCCTTCACGTCGATGTTTCTCTCTCTCTCTCTCTCTCTCTCTCTCTCTCATACTCTATCTGAACAAAAAATGGAAAAATGTCCTCAGGGGAGGATTAAAATAAAAAACTGGAGGGACTTACGTGTGTCTGGGCACCTGCCCTCTCCCCCTCGTGCCCTCGGGAGGGCATTGGGAAGCACGGTTGGGTGGCCCAGGTGCCTCTTGCTGCCTGGCCAGCCCCCTGGAGCCCCGCCTGAACCCTCCCTTGGGGTCCCGCAATGCAGAGGGGCTCTTCCCTGACGTCTCTGCCCCAGTCAGACCTCAGACACCCAGAGGCCAGAAATGGTTTTTATTAAGACGCTGACCATTAGGAAAACACCTGGAGGCGCGTGAATAGATACAACCTCCAAGTGGTGCAAACAGGTCTCCTGCGGCTTGGAAACAATTTCCCACAAATTCTGCCATAATAGCAGCATCTGTGAGTCAATACAGCGGGTGGGGGAGCATCCACTTGAAATGAGCTTTCTGGGACATGGTTTCCTGCAGGCTGGAGGGTGAGCCCCGTCCCCAGTCTGTCACCGAGCAGGGGTCCAGAGCTTGCCCACCTCTGTATCCCCCAGCCCAGCCCAGGGTCAAATGGCAGTGTTTACACAGGCTGACACCACACGCTGGCTGGCCCCTTTGGGTGATATTGGTAAACTGAGTGTAAACAGCTTTTTATATCTGTATTTGATCTAAAAATCCCCAGATTACATGTAACACTCAAGTACACCCTCTAGTCGTCATAGAAGAAATTGTCCCTTTTTTAAAAAAAATTGTTTATTTATTTATTTTTTTATTCTCACCCAAGGACATTTTTCCATTTTTTGTCCAGATAGAGTGGGAGGGAGAGAGAGAGAGAGAGGAAGAGAGAGAGAGAGAGAAACATTGACGTGAGACACATTGAGTGGCTGCCACCCGCACAACCAACCAGGGCCGGGGACAAACTGCAACTGAGGTACGTGCCCTTAGCGGGAACCGAACCCGGGTCTCTCTGGACGGCAGGCCAACGCTCTAACCGCTGAGCCAAACTGGCTAGGGCGAAATTGTCCCTTTATAAAAAGTATTTCACTACCTTCTGTAAATCTCATTAAATAAAGATAACTGTGCCCTGGCCAGTTTGGCTCAGTGGTTAGAACGTTGGCCCGCGGACCGAAGGGTCGCAGGTTCGATTCTGGTCAAGGGCACATACGAACCTGGGTTGCGGGTTTGACACCCAGCCCCAGTCGGGGTCGTGCGGGAGGCAACCAGTCGATGTCTCTCTCACATCGACGGTTTTCTCTCTCTCTCCCTCACACTCTATCTAAAAAAACAAAAATCAATGGAAAAAGATGTTCAGGTAAGGATTAACAACAAAAAACAGAAAAGAACTGTGTTCTAACACCTGTCAAGTCCAAAATGTTTGACTTTCAGGTTGCATTTAAGGGGAGACATGACCAAACGGACAAGTGGTCCGAGTAAGAAAAAACAAGGCAGTACTCAACGTTCTATGTTATAACCCCAAACAAATCGCTCTATTATTCTGAACGTCCTAAGCACTTGTTCAATATCCTGAAACACAATTGATCAAGAATCCATATCTGAGACCGGGGAACAATGAAAAATTTAGTATTAGGGCACATGAGCTCCTGATGCTTTATCTACATGAACTCACTTTATCAAACAAACTGTGAATGATCAAAGATACCTTTCTCCTCTCACCCATTAACGGTTCACAGTCACAGTGTGTGTCATTGATCTGGGTTTGACAGTCCCAGGCTAAGACAAGCCCCAAACCCTGGTCCAACACAAGGATGGAGATGTATCACCACTAGATGGTGCTGTGGAGTAGAGATGAAATTCCACACGGTTTGAACTTGGCACTCAAAGCAGTTGTTTTTCTTCAAGGAATAAATCACCCTCAGTGCGTTCTTGCCATTCCCACCAGCACCGTCTGCTCCGCTCCTAACTTTAATTTGTTAAGTCACCCCATTCTGAAGAGACGGCAGCCTTCCATTCAGAACACAATTGCTTTACATCAAGTTTCTTTAGGTTGAATACAACGTGGGCTTCTTAGAGGTGATATCCATTCTCTATTTTCTTTCAGTTACCTTCAAGCCTAATATTGCAAAAGGGTGGAAATAACGGCCTTCGTGGCCAACTAAGCAATAAAAGAAAGGACCAAAAGAAACGCATTAACGAAAACCGAAACTCCACCATCCCTCATGATCTGAGCAGCTAACGGCTAAAGCGGTTTGTTTATTTCCATTGCCAAGTCTTGCATGGGAAGAATGTTCTGTGTGGATGGGAGGATTCAAAGGGCGAGCCTGTCTTTATCAGTGTGGTTCACGCGGCCAGGCTCTGGCTGATGCCCTGGCTCATCAAAGTAGTTTCTGGCAGCTTCTCTGAGGGACATCAGCATCGCGCTGTCACCCGGGAGAGCACAGTGGCTTTTCTTCAGCCAGCCTCACTCTGTGCAACTGATTTTTCCCCTTTTTCACTGGGGAGAAAATTCTACACCATTCATGCGTGAAGGTCGTGCTGGTGCTGATTCATAATATGTAGCTCGGCTTCCTCTCTCGTTGGTGGTCAGTTGGTAAGAATGGTGGTCCAGCTCCCCGTAACTTCTTAGAACAAATGTTCAGCCATCCCTGCATTTGAATGATTTACGCGAGATCAGATAGGAAAAATAACATAGATGGACTCTCTCCAAGAATAACATAGACAGAATTCATTAAAGAGGAAATACCTTGGATTGGTAAACCCCCCCCCCAATTAAATAACTGAAAAGGGTACATTTATACCTCTTTTTATATTTCCTTTGTAAAAGGACATACCCCAGCCACAATCATTTAGTTCAGTACCTGGAGAAGAAATTCATGGTACATTTATAAATATACATACAAGTATCTTAGTTCATTTGGGCTGTTATAACAAAATACCGAAGATAGGATCCCTTATCAACAAATATTTATTTCTCGCTGTTCTGGAGGGTAACAATCCAAGATCGCTGTGGCCAGGCAGCTCAGCTGCTTAGAGCGTCGTCCTGACACACCAACGATGCGATCTGATTCCTGGTCAGGATCGCTCTCTCTCTCAAATCAGTAAGTTATAAAAATATTTTCAGAAGTCCATGCTAATGGGGCTGGTAGACTTGGTTCCTGGTGGGACCCGCCATAGAGTTCACAGATGGCTGACTTCTCCATGTGTCCTCCCGTGGCCAAAGGGGTGAGGGAGCTCTCGTGACCTCTTTTTTTTTTTTTTTTTTTTTATCCTCACCCGAGGATATTTTTCCATTTTTTGTACAGATAGAGTGGGAGGGAGAGAGAGGAAGGGAGAGAGAGAGAGAAACATCGACATGAAGGGACACATCGAGTGGCTGCCACCCACACGACCAACCAGGGCTGGGGATAAACTGCAACCGAAGTACATGCCCTTAGCGGGAACCAAACCCGGGTCTCTCCGGACTGCAGGCCGATGCTCTAACCGCTGAGCCAAACTGGCCAGGGCTCGTGGCCTCTTTTATAAGGACACTAATCCCCTCGTGGGAGCCCCACCCTCATGACCTAATCACCTTACAAATACCCCCACCTTCTAATACCATTACCATGGGGGTTACGATTTCAACACATGAATTTTGAGGGACACAACCTCTCAGACCATAGTTACTATCCTGCCTCCATAGCAACATACATATTAAGGCATTTATAATGAAACGACTGTATATTAAGTTACAGAATACAGCCCATTTTAAATAAGGACATAATCCATTGTTTTCCAAAGAAAAATGTCGAATGCATGTCGACTGAGCGTCTTCGTGCGAGGAGTTGTGAGGGATGCGACGTGAACGACGGTCCCCCCTCGAGAACACGCATGGGGCACCTCCTCATGGA